ACATAGAGTTATTTGTGGCGGCCCATCACTATATAAAAACTATCAAAAAACTTCAATGTCATTTTCATTTCGTCTTTCCTGTAATGCCTGATAAAAATTAGCAGTGTCTCATTTAGAAGGCTGCGCTCTCCGGAGGTCGCATTCGAAGGCTGCATACGTCATCGAGGCTGTCTCATTTCAGAAAAGCAAGTAGGACACTCCGAATGCGACCTTCGAATGTGACCTTCTTTCACAGGAATTCGGAGGATGCATGAGGTGTATCCTTCACTGCTACAGATAACCCACAATTCTTTGCGTCGCCGTAAACAACCGTTGTTAATTTGAAAAATGCCGGCGCCGGCAGATGTACACACATGCGCAGATGTGGTGTTTACAACTTACCTTAAATCGCCTCGGTAAAAACGGATAAACTTTGTTTTTAATATCCTCCTTTTTTTTCTCTAACAGATGTCTGCTGTACATACGCTGCAGCTCCTCAAACATTGAACAAAATAAACAAAATTTTTTATTACTTTCCAATTTAGAAATAATTTTCCTTCATTTAAGTAGTGTGAGAGCGCAACGATGCTCTAAATGTGTTGGCATAGCAACGTGATACTTCCTCTTTCCTTTTCCGCCTGTCCTACGAAGTCCGTCTCGTTTAATTCTAGGTTGAGGACACTATTTTGTTATTGACCAAATACTTATTTTCCACCATAATTTGCAAATAAATTCTTTAAAAATCCTACAATGTGATTTTCTGGATTTTTTTTCCCTCATTTTGTCTCTCATAGTTGAGGTATACCTATGATGAAAATTACAGGCCTCTCTCATCTTTTTAAGTGGGAGAACTTGCACAATTGGTGGCTGACTAAATACTTTTTTCCCCCACTGTATATGCATGCTACAGAGGATGTGACCTCCAGAGGATTCGACCTCCGGAAGGTGCAGCCTTCTAAATGAGACACAGCTAAAAGTAGCATTTGTGAGCAGTGCTTATTTGATTACAGCCGTTACCGGGGAAACAGCTATATCTCCTGCTCCAACAGCGCCTCCTGCTGGCAGAGAATTAATTTGCATTTGCAAGTCTGTGGGAAACACTGGTGTTTTTCAACAAACATAAACAAAAAGCAGGCTTCAGAACTGTTTTGAGATGGTGC